TGAGTGCTCGAATATTAAATTCTGAATTGAGCGTTGTGGTAAAGTGTATATTTTCGGCCAACGGGAATAGGAATCGACGATCACCAATGCCTAATACGTGTTGAAGAATGGACCACAGTAATTTGCATGTTCTCTTTTCCGTGACTGGGAAAATACCGGCCACGGAGTCCATTTCGAAGGCTGTCTGTGAGTCTGGTGCATACAATCAGCACAGGATTTTGCAACACGATTCAGATCCTGATTCAATTCAGGCCACCAGCATATGAGACGAGCAAGAGATTTCATCTTTGCATTGCGGAGATGACCGGAATGTCAGTCATGGAGAACAGCAGTACGTAATATCGGAGGTACGATAATGCGATCATTGTAGCACAAGACACCATCACATGTCACAGAAATTTCCTCAAGTTGTTTATGGAATTCCGGAAATCGACGCTTGGTATCGGCTCGACGGACTTAGGAAATGATAACGTAGTAATATTTCCTGGTCTCGCGAACTAGATCAGATCGGCTTACCAGGAGTGGTTGAGTGAGTAGACAATCAGTCGTAGAAACCTCCCCTGAAATAGCGTAGCGTGATAGATAGTCTGCATGTGGAATGGACTGCGCGCTGCAATAATGGATGTCGGAGGAATAGGCAGAAAACGAAATACTCCATCGTTGTACCATGGCTGCAGATGACTTAGCCAGGGAACGTTGAGGGTTGTAAATGAACTGCAGGGCTTCTTGATCACTCACAATAGTGAACTGAGTACCATAAAGATACTTGTGCATACGCGTGACAGCCCAATAGATAGCTAGGGCTTCTCGTTGAGTTTGGGAATACCCACGTTCGGCGGCCGTGATTCTGCGTGAGATGAACAGCACCGGATGACCGTTCTGCTACAACACAGCTCCAATTCCAACGGTAGAATGTAATCGTGGGAAGAAAGGACGTAAAACAGCACTGGTAGATAAAAAAGAAAGTAAATTCCTCAAGGCACGTCCATGGACCGAAGTCCACTGAAATGTTTGCTGTGACTGTAAATCGAACAATGGAGCAGCTTGAGTTTAAAAGTTAGGAAAAAACTTGGAATAGTGTCGTAAAGAACCAATCAAAGAACAAAGTTCATGGAATGACTTGGGAGATGGAGCATTGGTCAACGAAGAAAATAGATTAGGGTCAGGACGGAATCCGGATTCATTAACCATATAATCTAAAGAAGAAAGTTTAGTGGTAGCAAAGGCACATTTATCAGGGTTCATATAAACATTACGAGAACGAAATCTCTCAAGCAAAGCACTCAAACGTTCGTCATGTAAGTGTCTGCTAGGCGCATGAACAATAATATCTTCCTGATAGGCACATACACCTTGTAAGCCACAAATGATGGAATTAATGGTAGTCTGAAAAATAGCAGGGGAAACGCTGAGTCCAAAAGGTAGAAAACTGTAGCGAAATAAACCAAAATGTGTGTTAAAAGTAGTGAGTTCACGAGACTTTCTATCAAGAGGAAATTGAAGAGATGCGACTTTAAAGTCTAAACTAGAGAAAAATTTGAATACATGAAGTTGATGCAGAATGTCATCTGGTTCGAAAGTAGCACAACGGGACTGTTTCAGCTGTCTGTTCACAGCAATTCGATAATCCCCATGTATCTTAGGAGTCCTCCCGTCAGGTTTTAGTGTAGTAACGATTGGCGTGGCCCAAGCCCAAAAATTTACGGGTGGCAGAACTCCCTTGCTAATCATTCCTATTCCGGCTGGCCGAAAATATACACTTTACCACAACGCTCAATTCAGAATTTAATATTCGAGCACTCAGGAAAACGTTCCGCAGAGAAGGTGTCCCGCACGCTATCGTGACTGACAATGAAAATCATTTTACTGCCAAGAAAGTTACCGGTTGGTTGATCTCCGTGAGTTGTCGGCATGTGCTCACTCCACCCCGACATCCGCAATCCAATGGCGCCGCCGAAAACTTTGTGCGCACGCTGAAAAATGCCATTGCTTCCTTGAATCCCGGTACATTCGATGAACTGGACAGAGGCGTTGATAACTTTCTGATGCTATACCGTAACGCAGTACATTCAACTACGGGACACATTCCAGCAAAGTTGTTTAAGAGTCGAGTACTTCGAACAAATCTACACTTGAAGTCTGCGGAAGTCGTGTATCATCGTGGTAACGATTTACGACCCTCCAGGGGCATTGTATTAGACAATTTGGGACAAAGAGTATATCGCACATTGGATCTAGACGATGGCACTGTACCTCGTAGACATGTAGACCAATTAATTCGTAATTTTCCCAATCCTGATACTATTTGTGAACTTACTAATCCTTTTATTTCTGAGTCTTTTCCAGATGAATTACATCCCTGTACAAATGTTGAAAACAGTACAGAAGAACCCAGAAGATCTGAGCGATTACTCAACAAAGCCCGCCGTGATAGCAGAAAACCGGAGCTTCATTCAAGCTGCGGCGGATGTGGTGAGTGCTCATGAACTATGAACTCTTTTGTTTTATTAAACACGATATCCTTGTGCATTCCGAATTTCCGTCTATTACAGTTCCATTCTGTCGCTGAGTTCTGTGTTCTGATTTTGATTCGAGTCCTAGTTCTCAGTTGAACTACTACTGCGCGTAATCCGATACGTATACGAATTACTAGCCCGAGTGATACCTATTTATCACAACGTACAGGAACATATATAGCAGTTGTCTATTGCAATGCACGCCACACCTTCAATCTAAAAATGATGCGTCATCAATAGAATGAGAACCAACTACAGTGCTTTCGGTGATGATGTGAAGACCGTGTAGAATTCACTAAACACTTTCAATTTAATATGATCTCTGCAGGCATTGTGGACGGACTATGAACAAAGTTGAGTGGTAGAGTTTATAATCTACTGAAATCGGCATTTAATAGTCGCTAGTAGTTATTTGATGATAGCTAGAATCGGTGCAAATATGTCAAACTGAATGCATGCAGCTATTGTGTTAAATCTTGTGACAGAAAATTGATTCCCTACAGTCCCTGTTTGCTCTTAACTAATCTTCCTCTCACAAACATAATTGCAACCGCTTGAATAGCCACTATTCCAAATTCCACCATGTGGTTTAAATTTACAAAGAATACACCAAGGACCACAACGTTTTCCGTGAAAAACGTCCCGTACCACCCCCACCCACCCCCCACTCCAGACTTCACCCATTTAAACCGGAAAGATATCAGTGAGGCTGGGAGACGGGAAAATGGGTGTTGTTCATTCAAATGCGATGGAAATGCTTGTGATGACCAACAAAGAGCACTGAACAGCTGTTTCCTCCTGTTTGGGGCTCGTCAGCTTGATACTCTAAACATATATTATTCATATTCAAGAAAGCAAGCCACTTACACATTCCGCTTGTGTACAGCTATTTCTCGCAGGCTAATTGGATTTACGTTGCTGGTTGACAGTTTTGATCAGACATCGCATACCTATTCGTCTACGTGCGGTTCCTGTTGGGTTGAGTTGATCGTTGCGAACGATACACGGATCTATGTTTGGACTATCCCAAAATTGTCTTTTTAGGGAGTATGCTTGGCTTGAGGGCACAGCAGGATGACCCCCGCTCGGACAGACGCGTGCGACAGCCCAATGTGATCCGAAGTTAGGGGTGGACTGGGAGGGGTTAGATGTCCAAAATTCGAACACCATGAACCCAAAGTTTCGGTTAAACATGCACAGGGCTCTCTCTCTCACACACAATGGGAAGATACCAACGTCGTTCCCATAGTCAGTTGTAGAGTGATTACCGGGCTGTGGTCGTATCTTGTTGGTTTTGTGTTGTCTAGAGCGTTTCCTTTCGCCAGACCCATGTCTCCGTGCTTCCTCCGCGCAATCTGTATTGCTTTCCATTTATTACCACTCACCATCAACAAATATACCAGCCGTTCTACCTTGAAACCTCATAAACTTTCTTGATATACTCTGCAATATGGGGCAGGAAGAAAGCCACGGAGTCAGGGGTGAGCAAATTAGGAAAAATAAAACGGATTGAGTAACACTTATTAGAAAAGAATATTAGTCTGCAATGTCTTAAGCCTTAAGCGTTCCTGTTCTACAGGGCATAGTAATCATGAATAGACCGCGGTGAATCATATTGTTTCAAAATGCATATATATATATATATATATTATCGTAAAACTGTAAGGCGTAGCTTCGTGCCTTCGTTATCTCGGAGCATTTTATAACTAAAACCGACCTAGATCATCTTTTCTATAGATTTCAAATTTGGGCTGCACGCGGACCACAACATTATAGCAAATAGAATGCAGCGAGATACGGATACTGAACCGCGACACGGTCCTCCAGCATACCGGCTCGCACAAAAGCATTTGGATCACATTACCGGCAGAAGGCGCTGCTCCAACTTTACGAAAATACAACATTCAATTTACTGTCCAACGATATCACGGTGAATTTGAGTGGGCTCATATTCGAGAAAGGATGCCATTCCAGCGCAGTATAAGTGCTTCACTTCTGTCGTATCCTGTATAATCTTTATGCACCAGTAAGAGTTCCACACTTTGGCTTAATCTAAACTGACTTGGTTTTCAGATCTTACACCGACGAAATTACATGCGATTTTGACATTACACGATTTTTAATCCACAAAATCCTGTTGCCTATTTTTAAAGTTAATATTCTCATTATCATCATCTACTTCATTCATTAGAAAGCTCTTTCAATCACACTAACCATGAAGTTAAAATTCGTTTTCGAAATTTAAAGTTTTTATGGTAATGCAAAATTATGAATTAAGTGTTAGAGATACCAAAGCACCATGTAGATAACGTTTTGATCGTCGGGAAGATAAATGTACCACCTAGGTCCTGTCGTGCCTGAGATTGGTATCTTTTTTATCCACCTTTGTAACGTTTTGGACAGTGCTACCTGCAGTTCAAATAAAACATTTTCGTATAGTCACGGGGGTTAAGATCAACCCAGCACGACCTGTTGCTTTCCATTTGACACAGTGCATGGTTTGCCTTGTTCACGGCCTGCAGACCCAACAAAGCCCGATAGCCACTTTACCACTTCTGAGTCTACATTTGTCTCTACTTATCACAATATCCGTTACTGGTTTTCACCATGACGATCAAGCGGTTTAAGGATAACATTGGTGGCAGTCCCACGTAGCGAATAAAACGGGATTGAATGATATTTGGATTTCGATCAGGTAACACCGTATCTACCCGGGGTAACGCCTCATCGTTGTGACTCGGAAAGAAGTTGAAGAGCATGGTAGGGTTCAGAGAAAATTGATTTATTTGGAAGAACTGCTATGAGAAACGGCAAGGTATATTTTCGGTTTCAGTACGCGTTGGTGTTCCTACGGACAGTCTTCCTCGTTGCGTTGTTGAAGTGTGAGATGTGGCGAACAAAATTGACCAATTGGTAGGATATACGGAAAGTGTGCTTTATCAAATAAAAAACATCAGGTGCTCTCCACTGCCGAGGCGGTTATTATCCGTGAGCAGAGAAAATCAGTTCAAGCTGTCCAGCTCCCACTTGCGCGTGCTACTCATGGGCTTAGATGTGACGCAAAAGAACTTTAAAAGTCAGTCAGTTTAGACGTGCACTCGAGTTCTTTCCCTGTGAAGTCAACTTATTTATCTTTCTCACGGTTTCCCCTGTACACCGACTAAATGTGTGACATTTCCTTTCGTTGTACACAAAACCCATCCAGGTGGTTTTGACAGCAAGGAGTGCGTGACCTTTAAAAAAGCGGCTTCTACATTGCATATTGACCACAATTCTCATCAGCAAGGCTGATCGTTTAATCTTTTAGAAACATTGCCGTGATTCCGAAAGTGTTCTATTCTGCTTGGAGTTTGAGAGGGAACAGGTGACTGAGCGTACAGTGGGAATACCTAGCAAATGTACGACGAAAGTGATCTCCCACGAATTGCGAGAACGACATGCCACCGGTACACAAAGTTTATCACCCCTAGTCTAAAGATAGCAGCCCGTACTGGGTAGATGTTACTGTGCTAATAGATGAACGCTCAGTTGAGCAATATTTACAAATAGTCAGAGCTAATCGTATTTAGCTGTTTGAGAACATGCATACTTGTCGCCAGGGGACAGTTGACAGGACCCAGAGCCACTCTGGGCTATAAATCGATCTTATCATCGTTCATGATAAAAAATAACAAAAATTATAAGCAAAAATGTCACAGTTTGTGATTTTAACTGCTAAGGATAAGCGCTCATCATGTAGAAGTACCACTGGATGAAATGGGGGGGGGAGAGGGGATTGCAATCATTTTGGTTCGTAACTGGTCAGGATTGGAAGCTGTAGAAAGTTCTTTGAATAGAGTAAATCGATTTCATACTTATCACACCATTGTTCAGGACATAAACAAACTCCACTAGACTCTTAATAGTAAGAGTACTTTGATCTCTGTTGTGGTTTGTTGAACTTTCTCACCAAGGTAACCCCACTGGCGTGAAATAGGACCACAGCGAAACCGTTTTTGGTTAACTACAGGAAGTTGTTTTCATTAGCTTAAATTCAAGACGAGTGATTGAATAAAATTGACTGAATTTTCATACTACTATCTTTCAACCAAGACGTTAAATTTTGGCTGTTGGGATAAAATTATAGAAAAGGGTTACCATTTGAGCGAAAAAAATATTGCGTTCGACAAGATCCGGTCGGGTTAAGGACATAAGAAACATGGAATGTTTGAAACAAACCCTGGTATTAGGACTTGCATAAAAATACATTGAGTAAGCAGTGAAAGACAATTTTAAAAACGTATTGAACACTACTCCTACTGCTATTACTACTACTACTGATTTAGATATTGTCACTAAACTTCTCATCAAACAAAAATAGCCTCCTGGGGCATTGGTAAGCTTAGTCTAATTAACTCGTTTCAAGACATGGCTAGATATCATGTCACTTCAACGAGCCCTCCAACGAATAAGAAAGCACATTTTCCCTTCCCTCCCCCACCCAAACGACCACTCGAAACACATCGGCATATGTACCACGTGTCTCATCAGATCGTTTTCTGTGCTGCCCCCCAAAACCAATCCAGTTCGACATGGTTCCTTCAATCACACAGAGATATTACTGATCGTTCGTCTTTGTCTCTTCAGACAAAACCTAATTTGACTGTTAAAGTACTTTAGCGAATACTGTCAGACGAGCATGTTTTGATGACAATGCTCAACTGGACCGGGTCCGATCACGGTATCTGAACTATAACCGACAAAAGTTCACAATTTACTCACTCAGATCGTCTTCTACCAATGCCACGTGAGCTGGGAGGACGTGTCACGTGACCAGTGGAATTATCTGCGGCAGCACCATTATCACCAAATGAAGTTTTACAGTACACTTGGTTCTTATTGGTTCAAAATCATTTGCTGCTGAGCCTACTTAAACCACGTTTCGGGGGGAAGGGTATCAGACAGTGAAACAACGGTCAATTCAAAGGGGATTGGCGACGTCTAGAATCCCAGTATACGGTTGCAAGTATGCAGCACGTTAAGCTATTCGTTTGTATCACAGGCCTCTTATTGGCCCAGCTTTTATTCAACAAGCAAATCACTGCTTTGCTACCGGTAGAACGGACAGAATCCGATCGGATCAGTCGATCGACTGAAATGCGAATGAAAATGTGCGGTCAGAAGTTATTGCGTAATTTGCGCGCCACTTGTGGCACCCGTGGAATCTATGCCCCAACGGAA